TAACTATTTTAAAAAAATAAACTTCAAATTTAAATCGATTTGAATAATTTCTTTCAAAAAGCACATATGATTTATCAGTGATAGATTAAATAATTTAAAATTAGCTATTAAAAATAGGGGATCTACTTTTAGACAGATATATAAATATAATATAAAAAATGTAGAGAAATAAATATATATAAATGTAGAAAAAGTAAAAAAATTCCATAAAAAGAATAAATTTTACAGAAATAGAAATTTAAAAATTATTTTCTAACAGTGGATAATAATTTTATAGTTTTAATTGATAAAAATAAATTCTTTTGCCATTTGATCATTAATTTGTGTTAAATTGATAATAATAATAATTTTTTAGTAATTCACAATATAAAAACTAGATTTCTAATAACTAGGAATACTGTCTTATAATTGATCCATATTTGTTTTGAGTTAAATTTTTGTGATATTTAGGGCGAATTGCAGATTATTGTTTATCTATGAATTATAGATAAAGTGGTCGCCCAATATAATTTGACAGGTCTTTTGTATTTTTTATTTAGTAACTTGAGAAATTTAAGGAAGATAAGGATTTAAATAATCATATATAAATAAACCCAAAATTATTTATTAAATAGAATTGGTCTATTTTAATTTGGTATTTCTAAAATATGCTTTATTATATTTTTCTTATTATAATATGAACTATTTTGATTGTTTTTTATTTATTGAAAGAGACTGCAGATTATGCACAATTCAAAATAGAGTTTATAATAACTTTCTATATATTTATCTGAATTTATAAAAGAATTATTCTGCAAATCCATTTCAATATAGTGGTCTTAGCTTTTTATTATCCTTATAATTTATGATGGAGCTTTTGAATTAAAGCTTTTTATCTATTAAAATTGTTAAATAATCGTATTATTATTCTAGCAGTAATCAATTATATTTTTATCATTTATATTAAGTAGATATAAATGAAATATATTGAGTCAATGCCTATTTATTAACAATATTTTAATTTATGTTTTATCAAGTAAACATTATTACTCTGTATTATAATTAAGAAAATATTCTAATTAATTAGAATATTGAAATTAATGTTACGTTTTATTAAGTAAACATTATTACATTCAAATTTTGAAATATTATCAGTAAAAAGAATATAAATATTAATAATAATTACTTTTATGTTTTATTAAAAAACAGCTTTAAGAATAGTATAAAAGAAAATCTGTCATATTAATTCTGTTTAATATAAATTTATTTTAATTTTCTTAAATCAATTATAATTATATCAGTAAATTAACTTTTCATTTTATAATTTCATATATAATACAATTAGTATTTTCAATATTTTGATTGTAATTATATATAATAATATTTTGAAATAGATAATATATTTTTTGGTTGTTATTTTCATATTGTTAATCACATCCAAATCTTATCTAAAGTTTCATTAAATTTTAATCAGAAAATATATTTATTTGAATTCAATTTAAAGTTAATTATTGCATATTAGTTGATGACTTCTGAAAAATGAATAATCTTACCATAATCAAGACATTATTTTTCAAGATGTAATAATTAGCAATGTTATAATCATCTAAACCTTTTATTACTTTTAGTAAATTATTCAAAAACTGCAAACCTAACTTAAGATTATTTCTAGTTTAGTTTTAACTTTAACTTTGTCTCTTATTTTGTAATTTCTGATTATTTTAGGGTTTGCATTTCTTTTAATAAATGAAATTTTTGATTATATTTACCATTTTTCTAATTAGCCTTTTTAGTTTTCAAGATATACTATTTGCTATTGAAAAGATAGATTTTTAATTAACCCTAAATATCGAAAGCGAGATATTACAGATCTATACGCTTTATAATTATTTAGACATATAAAGGAAAAGTTGTAAAAAGGAGAGCAAAAATTTCAAGGAATTCTAAAAAACTCTTATTGATAAAATAAGGAAAATTATCTGAATTTAACTTTTTAAAAACTGGGCTTGGGAATACTCAGCATAGCTCAGGAATATTAATATACATTTGACAATAATTGAAGTTAATTTCTATATTAAATTAACAATCTTTTGTTATTGTTAAACCTTAATTGTTATATTTTCCTTTAATTAGAAGTAGTAAATACATGATAATATTTCATACATAATAAATCTTATATCAGCATATGTCAGATCTAGAATTTATGGTAATTATAGCCATCTTAATTACTTATTAAAAGGATTTTAATAGAAAAACAGAAAACCAAATTTCTCACCACTTCTTTAATGAAGTCACTATTTATATTCAGAATCAAATTTTTAAAGATAATAATTAGCCTCAAAACTAAAAATTTGCCATAATAATAATATCGGCAAACTAAATTTAATTATCTTATTATTTTGGTTTATTTCTTATGGTCTAATCTTTTTACGATCTTTAACAATAAATCATAAATTCATTATGATAAATATATGAACTGTTTTAATCAATTTACAAACAAACTTCATGATAAATTGGTATTTCACTTTCAATTAAATAATAAAATCATTCTTTTAATAATAATTAGATAATTATATCAGTTCTAAGTCATCATTATTACTTCTATTTTATTTCAAAAAATAAAAATTTTCCTAAACCCATATGTGATACATTTTAGTTATTATTATAAATAAATTTCCATTTTAGATTTAAACAATTACAATACTGTTTTTAAAACATAAGAATTACTTAAATGTCAATATATATCAATATTTATTAAGATATTTTCATACTTGTTTGTAAATATTAATTAATTATAATTTTCTAAATATTTTTTGGATATACTATAAAATGATTTTTTGAATATAAAGAGAATAGAATATCAATAAATTTATCACATTTAATTGATATTTGAGTTATAATGAAATTTTAAATATCTTAAGAATTAAGTAAAGACCTCGGCTTTTTTTTTTTTATTATTTTGACTCAATTTCATCAATTTAATATAATATATGTTGTTTTTGCTAAATTTTAATTCTATATTTATTTATAGAATAATAATAATAATTCAAATTCTATTAGATTTTTTCCATAATTCTATTACTATTCNTATATTTACCATTTTTCTAATTAGCCTTTTTAGTTTTCAAGATATACTATTTGCTATTGAAAAGATAGATTTTTAATTAACCCTAAATATCGAAAGCGAGATATTACAGATCTATACGCTTTATAATTATTTAGACATATAAAGGAAAAGTTGTAAAAAGGAGAGCAAAAATTTCAAGGAATTCTAAAAAACTCTTATTGATAAAATAAGGAAAATTATCTGAATTTAACTTTTTAAAAACTGGGCTTGGGAATACTCAGCATAGCTCAGGAATATTAATATACATTTGACAATAATTGAAGTTAATTTCTATATTAAATTAACAATCTTTTGTTATTGTTAAACCTTAATTGTTATATTTTCCTTTAATTAGAAGTAGTAAATACATGATAATATTTCATACATAATAAATCTTATATCAGCATATGTCAGATCTAGAATTTATGGTAATTATAGCCATCTTAATTACTTATTAAAAGGATTTTAATAGAAAAACAGAAAACCAAATTTCTCACCACTTCTTTAATGAAGTCACTATTTATATTCAGAATCAAATTTTTAAAGATAATAATTAGCCTCAAAACTAAAAATTTGCCATAATAATAATATCGGCAAACTAAATTTAATTATCTTATTATTTTGGTTTATTTCTTATGGTCTAATCTTTTTACGATCTTTAACAATAAATCATAAATTCATTATGATAAATATATGAACTGTTTTAATCAATTTACAAACAAACTTCATGATAAATTGGTATTTCACTTTCAATTAAATAATAAAATCATTCTTTTAATAATAATTAGATAATTATATCAGTTCTAAGTCATCATTATTACTTCTATTTTATTTCAAAAAATAAAAATTTTCCTAAACCCATATGTGATACATTTTAGTTATTATTATAAATAAATTTCCATTTTAGATTTAAACAATTACAATACTGTTTTTAAAACATAAGAATTACTTAAATGTCAATATATATCAATATTTATTAAGATATTTTCATACTTGTTTGTAAATATTAATTAATTATAATTTTCTAAATATTTTTTGGATATACTATAAAATGATTTTTTGAATATAAAGAGAATAGAATATCAATAAATTTATCACATTTAATTGATATTTGAGTTATAATGAAATTTTAAATATCTTAAGAATTAAGTAAAGACCTCGGCTTTTTTTTTTTTATTATTTTGACTCAATTTCATCAATTTAATATAATATATGTTGTTTTTGCTAAATTTTAATTCTATATTTATTTATAGAATAATAATAATAATTCAAATTCTATTAGATTTTTTCCATAATTCTATTACTATTCTATAAAATGTTATTATAATTGAACAATTTAGATTATATTTCTAAATTAATTATGGATATACCAAATAAGAAGATTGAAAATATACCAGAAGAGAAGAAGTTATTGGAAATGAGTCAGATAATATAAAAATTAGTTGAAGAGTTTACTAGAAATACAAAAAATTAAGGCTCTGTTGTTTTATTTGTTGGATCAACAGGATCTGGAAAAAGCACAACTTTTAATTTTTTAAGTGGAGCAGAGTTTAAACTTAATGATGATGAAGAATTAGAATTAAAAAACATTTTAAAGAATTTTTCAAATATGAATCCTGGATTAGAATCAGTTACAAAAGAACCAAATTTCTTTTATAATGAATCAAATAAACATTTAATTATTGATTTTCCTGGATTTTTGGATACAAATGGGGATTGGGATTAATTATTAATAGAACTTTTATTTAATAAGATAGTGTCTTTAGGGGAATTAAAAATAATTTATGTATTAAATAATCCTTAAAATACACTTCAAAATAGAGGATCTGATCTATAAGAATTTCTTAAATAGTTAGATAATCCAAAAATAAATTTAATTTTAAATTGTTATATGGCTAATTGGGCTGATGAAAAATTAATAAATAAAATAAAAAATGATTTAGAATAAGTTAAATCATCAGTTAATGAACCTAAATTAATAGACTTAATAGATAAAATTCTTGTAAAAAGAAAAGCTTCAAATTAAGATTAATTAAATTCTATTTTTAATAATGAATAAAGATAAATATTTTGGAAAGAGATTGAAGAATTGAGTAAAATTAAAATAAAACCTAGAAGAATACATAAAAGTGAAATCATAAGTTAATATATTATATCTAAAGCAACAAATATAATTTAAGAATATGGAGATATACTTTCATTAATTTTTGAATAAAATAATAATTAAGAAGATGAAAAATACAATTAATAATAGCATCAAAAATTGTTATAATTTTAAGTTCTATTGAAAAATAAAAATAAATTATCACCTTTATAATGGTTTTTAGACTTTATAAAGATTTGTGAAGAATTGACTTTGAATTTATATAAATCAAAAAGTGGAGATTTTTTAAAAATATTTTAATATTTTGAATAATTTTAAGAATTCATAGATGGATATTAGTATTTAGATAACATAAACAAATAAGCATAACAAAATTTATAATAAGTTGAAAAGTTATTTCATTTGAAAATTGAGTCATAAGAAAAAATTAAAAAAGCAGAAGAGGAAAAAAGAAGGGCAGAAGAAGATAAAAGAAGAGCAGAAGAAGATAAAAGAAAAGCAGAAGAAAATAAAAGAAAAGCAGAAGAAGAGAAATTAAAAATAGAATAAGAAATTGCCAATTAAAAATTAGAAGCTGAAAAACTAAGATGTTAAATGGTAGAGTAATAAAGAGAGCATGAACAGAGGATGCATGCTTTAGAAATGAATTACAAACAACAAGAACTAGATAGTTGTCACTCTTATTATAATGTTCAATTAACTAAATTAAGAAATGAAGTCAAAAAAAAAAATACCGGGAAGAAGAATAAGTATTCTACCAAATAGAAAAAAAGTTGTTCTTGAAGAAAATCAAGGCATATAAAGAAATGAAATAATTTAATAATTTTAAATTAATCATAATAAATTATATAATATAAGAACACTTTTTTGTTAATATAACATAATTAATTTAAAATAATTAAGTAATTTTCTTTAAAAATAGTAAATATAGTAAATTATTGTTATATATGTGTGTAGTATTAATTTGAAACTAAAATAAATGATAATACTAATTTTATATTCCATTAAATATTATAATAAAAGAGATTTATATTAAATAATTTTTGAATTATTTAATTTAAGTAATTAAGTGATGAATTTTCTATAATCATTACCAAAGCCCCAAAAAAATTTTTAAGGCAGGAAATAAAAAATTTGATATTATTACATCTAAACCAGGAAAGATCTAGAGAGAATAAAAGCGTCTTTAATAATAAAAAATACTCACTAAAGGTATAAAATAGTATCTAATAATTGGCTTAAAACTAAAATATTTAAAGAATGAAAATTTCTAATAGTTCGAAATAGTTTATTAATATAAAGAAAAAAACCAACCATTTTCATAAAACAGATTTGAAAATTCTGGATACACCTTTAAATTTGAAAATCTAACAGCACTAAATAATGGTAAAAAGAGAATTAAATAGAATAAATCATATTTACGATTTAATCCCAAATCCAAAAATAAAATTTGTAAATTCTTTAACAACTCTATTTGAGAGTATATTAGAGAATTTCATTTATTAATCCAGATGTGTTTTAAAAATAGAAGATAAAATGAAAATGAAATGAGATAAATTAAAAACTAAATAAAATCTAGATGAGTTGAATTAAAAATTTAGAGAATAACTTTTCTATATGTCAAGTCAATAAAAAAGCAGACCTATTTTATACTAGGAATAAGAATATATGAAAAGTATATTAATATTTTTATATAATTATTTACAGTTTCAAATGGCAGATGAAAATTTGGAATAAATAATTGATATGCCAGAATAATCAGATATGATCAATGATGCAAGAACTTAAGTAATTAATAAATAAATTTCAAAGGCCAGATATGCAGTAGAACATTTTAAAGTAGAATCATAAATCTCTCATTATATCAAGAAGTTTTTCGATGAAAAATACGGTCCAAATTGGCATTGTGTTGTTGGTATCTACATCAATTAAAATTAAAGGGAAACATTTTAATTCATACTCATCTTATGAAAGCAAACGTTATATGTTTTTTTATGAAGGATAGATGGCAATATTACTATATAAGATGGGTTGATAGAAATATTATATTTATTATAAATGGAATTCTATTTTTATTATCATCTTCTTATTTTTTAAAAGAATAATATAAAATTTAATAAAACATAATATTTATGGAAAATAATAATTGATTAGATTATAATTAATTTTATTTCTTTTATAAATTTGAAGTCATATTTTAAGTATGATAAGAATTCAATTTAATTATGAAACTAGGATTTAAACATTAAGGGATCAATGCTAAATAAAAACATATTTCTTATTTAATTTTTCAATATCTTATTCTAATTATATTAACTCTTTTTCATAATTTTCTTTTCTTCTTTTGACTCCAATAGTTCCAAATACTCTACAATGTGTTTATTATTAATATTAATAATTCAATTCATCATATTTCTTTTTTAATCCTTGTCTTATTTATTCCAACTCCTCTTCTGGCAATTATTATCTATTAAAAATTAGAAAATATACAATTTATTATCTTATTCTTATTATTCTAATTATTTTCTATATTGTTCTTCATAAAATTATTCTTTAAGAGTATCTTTGATTTAAGTTAAATAAATTGGAACTTTTCCATAAACAGATTTCTTAGTCCAATCTGGTTCTGATTATTTTCTTTTAGGATCTATGTAGTAATAAAATATAATAAAATATAACTAGCTAAAATGACATCTATTGCATTAGTGGCAATAAAATTTTTATTTTATTTTAATCCCATAATTGGTTTATCATTCAATTTTGGTATTTATGGTTTATTAGCAGAATGTTAATGATCAACACTTCTATGAATTGATCCTTTTTCAATCCATAAATCTAAACTATTATTACCCATATATCTATGTTTAATTGGTTCTAATTTTTCTAGAATTTAATATGATTATTACAATTTTTAGATTTACCTAAAACACCACTTTCTGATCTATATCTATTTTATTGAATAACATATGATCCATTTATATTTGTGACTGGAATAATTAAAGATTGAGTTCCAAATGTACTTCCAGTTGGAGCAATAGTTCCAGGTATTGTAGATTTATATAATTTAGAAACTTTTTTAGGAGGAGTTTTCTCTTTTGGTATTAAGTTATAAATGCTTTCTTGCATATAATTATATAATAAAATTTATTGAAAATGATTGTTTTTAAAGAAATAAATAAATTTATTTAATTATATTTAACAGTTTTATGGCATCAAAAGTTAAAATAGAATGCATTAAATAAGGATATTAAATTAGTAATGAAATGAAAATAGATATTATGGACTTATATAATAGATCATTATATTAAGAACATTATGCACATAAAACTGATTATATTAGACATAATCTAGAAGAAAAATATGGTAATTAATATATTTAATATATAGGTCGATGTTTTTCAATTTTAATATATTCAATAGGTTCATTTGTATCTCATTCATTTTTACATGCTGATGATTATTTATTAGAATTAAGATCTCCTGAACATCATATACTTGCATATTTATTACCTCCTTCTTATACTCCCCCTCCATTAATTCCAGATCAATAAGTTGTACCATTAAGTAGAACATTAACTCATCCATTACATGCTTCTAAACCTGTTTAATTGTAATTATCTCTTTTATGGTAGTTAATAATCACCTCAATCCAAGATCTTAGATTACCCAACACAATATTCATCTTATTATGCTAATAAATATTATGATGGATATTATAGAAGAGGATATTGGTGAAATTCAATGAATTCTTATTATATTTTATTAATAAAATTTAACAATTCATGTATTCTTATAGAAATCCTCAGATTCCCTAATAAAACAGACCAAGTAGTGGAAGTGTTAATACAAAATCATAGATTTATAATACACAGTATATAAATAAACCAGAAACATAATCGTTTTTACTGTAACCTAATAACTCAATAAAGACATTCGATTCTGTAGTATAACATACAAATCAATCTTCATAACATGATCATTATATAAATGATATGGAAAGTAGTGAAAAATTAATAAAAGGTATGAAATTGTCAACATTAACTTCAAAATTTTCAACTTTAAATCTGAAATATTCAAGTCCATAAAATACTTCAAAATTAGATACACCATCAAGAGTTGATTCATTATTGTAAGAAATATATGACATTAAATTACAAAATGAAAAATCCAAATAGTTTTATTAATCCTAAATTATCAATCTATAAAATACATAAGACTAATTAAAAATTGAAAATATCAGTTTATCAAATTCAATAAAAGGATTAACTTAATAAATATATGATGCTAGATATAGTATGCATAGAATATATCAATAAACAGATATAGATGAATTAACTAATTCAATTTAAATAGATTATAATAATCATTCTAACATCTAATAGGCTTTCAATTAGTTTTAATCAGAAATATTTCAATTCATTTATTACTATTAAAGTTAAATAAATTAATAAATTCAATAGAAATAATAATAACTCAATAAAATCATTATTAAGTTGAATTAAATAAAAGATAGTTAATAGAAACATATTGAAAAAATAAAAACTAATAAAATAATGAATTAGAATTAGAAACTGGAATATCAATTTAATGAATTAAAGAAAAATCATTAATATATTATCAATAATATTGAATAAGAAAAGTTATTTGCTATTTAATAAGAATAATAACTTAAATAACAATTCTAAGTTAGGATTTAATATTTGGAATAAGAACTTAGCAAATTATTAGATGATAATAAGAATAAGGAATTAATTATATCTGAATTAAATGATTTAAATCAATCGAAAGTGCTTCAAGTAATTTAATCATGATATTTAGATCTAATAAAAAGATGAAATATAGTAATTAACAGATAAATTATAAGAAAGTTACAACAATTAAATTAATCTAAATGATTAAATAGTATTATTAAAATAAAATTGTAATAGTCTATTAAATGATTTTGAAAAATATTAAATTGAATTATCGACATTATAAAAAGAGAAATAATATATTCAAATTTAATTTGAGAAGTAAAAAAATGAAAATATAGATTTAATTAAACATTAAACATAAATAAATGAAAATTAATAAATCTAAATTGACAAATTGAAATAAGAATATTAAAATTAAAATAATAAATTATAAGAATAAATAAGAATAAAAGATTAAAAATTAACTAAAATATAAGAAAATTATGATACTTTATAAAGGTATAAATAAGAACTTGAAAATCAATTAAAATAATCTAGAAATGAAAATAATAAATTCAAAGATTAAATAGATTAATTATAATAATTTTAAATAAAAATTAATAAATAGAATTCTACTATATAAAATTTAATTGAATAAAATTAATCATAAGAAAATATGATTAACAATTATTTAACAGAAAAGAAAATATTGGAATAAAAAATAATTGAATTATAAAGAAAAAATTAATAAATTTAATAATAATAATAATAACCTTAAGAAAGAGATAGTTTGAATTAAAAGATTTATAAACTATAAAAAGATATTGAAAATAAATAATTAGAAATTAAAATATTATAAACAGATAATTTTGAATTATAGAAATAAATTAAATAAGAATAAGTAAATTAATTATAAATTAAAAATTTGATTACAAACTTATAAAATGATAGATCCTAATATTAATAATAAAAATCATAGATTGAATAATAATTAAATAAATAATAAAAGCATAATTAAGAATTACTCAAATAAATGGAGGAAGTAATATAAAATAATTTAAATTAATAAGAGTAATAAACTAATGAATGGTAAAATCAATAAAAGATGCTTACTAAAAAATAAGTTTAATCTGAATAACATTTAGAAAATGCATTTAATGAAAATGAAAAGTTAAGAGTAAGAATTTCAGAACTGGAATTTAAATTAGAAGAAGAAATAGATAAAAATTAATAGTTGGTAGAAGAGATAAAAAAATATTCAATAGATTCAAAACAAAAAGATGTTTAGATATCAGAATGCAAATCCCATATATAAAAATTAACTTTATAAATTAATAATATTGAAAGAGATAAATAAGAATAAAAAACTAATCATTTAAATGACTCATAATAAAATGCTTATATTTAAGATATAGAATAATTTTAATTCAAAATAAAATAATATCAAAATGAATAAAAAGAAAATGAAAATTAATAAAAATAACTCAATCTAAAATTATAAGAAGCATTAAAAAAAATAGAATCAATATAATTATAATTATAAGAAGAATAGATTAAATCACATAATCTAATGAAATAATTATAGACCATCTCTGAAAATAAGAGTTCTATTTAACCAAATTAAGATATAATGGATTTATTAGATGTTTAAATATCTTAAAGAGTTAATTAAATAGAAAATATATTATTACCTGAAACAAACTAATCAGATGAATAAATTTCTATATTATCACAGTAGATTTAATTAATGTAATAATAATTAAATGAATAGTAAGATATACTATAAAAAAAAGATTTATTAATTAATGATATAATGCAATAAAAAACATAAATATAGAGTAGTCTTAATTAATCTATTGAGTAAAATAAACTGTTAGAAAATTAAATTATTAGTTTGAAAATAGAATAGTAAAGTTTAGATCAATTAAAAAATGATATTAATCATTATTAATAAAAGATATCTAATCAATAAAAGATTATAGAAAATTTATAAAAGTAAATAGAGGATTATTAAACAGAATTATAAAAATAAGGGAGTTAAGTAAAAATATTAGAAATTATTTAATAATCAAGTGAAGAATAAGTATAATTTAAAGAATTGATATCATAAAAAGATTAAGAAATTTTAAATTTGTAAGAAGAATTAAAAAGTATCCATTAGTAAATAGAATAAAAAATGAATAAGTCTGTAATTAGTAATAGATCTAAAAATAGTTAAAATCTTGTTAAATTTGAATAGTTTGCTGATGTTGATGAAAATGATATTAATGAATAATCATATGATGATGAAGAAATATTAATAGAGAAATTATAATTATAAAAAATACTTGAAGAAAATGATGAAAAAATTAAACGGTTGGAAATCTAATTATAATATGCTTAAGAATATACAAAAATAAAGATTAATTAGGAATTGGGAAATTTAAAAACTTAATTAAATAATCAAACAAAACTTATTGAAGATTTGAACAATTTAAATTAAAAATAATTAAAGGAATTAGAATAAAAAGACTTATAAATTCAAAACTTAAAAGAATAATTAAATAGATATCATTAATAAAAAGAACATATTAAGAATAATTCTATACATAGTAACGGATCTAAAATAAATCAAAATTAAATCAATTTTGATTAATTAACTGATATTTAAACTGAATAAGAAAAGATGGATAATTTCGATATATAAGGATAATTTTAATTAGAAAATAATTAAATAGTATAAAATAACAATAAGTATTTATATATTTATAAAAAAGAATCCTAAATGAAATCGTAGAAATGCAATAGCCTAAGAATGAGTAAATAAAGGAAGTATCTCAAAATAATAATGATTATTTTAATTGATTATATTCATTTTATCATTATTCTTATTTTTTCAATAATTTATCCATATATATATAATTGTATTTTAGATTTAGAACTTTTAATTTTTTTTAAGAATTTAAATAATATTTAATTGTTTTTTTATTTCTTTTAAATAAGTTTCAAATTAGCTAAATATCTATTGAATCTTGATTGAGTGTTACTACGATCTGATATTGGATGAAAAGTACCTCATATTTTAATATTTCCATTTCAATTGATCTTAATGATTTTTTATAACTAGGAACTGTTAGACTCAAAGCAATTAATAGTAGACTACGTTATTATGATATTTCATAGTAGCTAATCATTTTTAATTGAATTGAATAAATCTTAAATATCTTTTTGATTCTTACTAAAGTTTTGAATATTTCCTTTAAGTTTAATACAAATTATTTACTTATGGTTTAACTGTGAATATTATTCAAACTATTTTTAGAAATGATCATCTATCATTTTTAACAATATCATTTCTTCTTATTTATTAAAAATGCTCTTTATTTTGGAATGTTATAAAGTAATTGATTGATTCTATACAACCATTTAATGACATTATTTTCTTTTTTTTTCTTATTAAATTTGAGATTTAAAATTTAGTTTTAATGATTGATCTTTTTTTATATAGATTGGCATTGTTATGAGATTATCAAAATAAAAAACATATTTGATTGTATAATCTCTTATATAGTTAAATTTCGACTTCTTCAATAGCCATCAGTTAAATTTGCTAAATATAAATATTTTACAATAATCCATTTTTCAAGTTTCTAGAAGGAAAAAATTGTCGAAAAAAGGATGGAATCAATTGTCTTGATTTATTGTTTTTATGTAAGATGAAGACTATATAAAAAATCCTTTTGTTTCCAAAACTTTTAATTTAGTGAATATTTGTATTATGAAAAATAGAATATAAATTTGGTGATTTAAATTTAGTCATAGAAGAATTTCAATTTATATATGATTATCTTAATATAATCATGAACTATTCCTGTTAGAATTAACTTGAATAAATATTATTTTTAACATCTAAATCCAATAACAGACTTTATTTTAGAAATCTTTTGTTTTATGAATTTTAAGATATTAACCTTGTGAATAGTTTTATATGATATTTATATATCTGATATTATTACTTTTTTTAGAATCTACTTGCTATTCTGTCATATATTTATTATATGTATATATCTAAATAATAGATTGATAATATGAATAATATAATTACATAATACATCAATTCTTTGAATATAAGTTTATCTATTATATAATTTTTGAACTTCTTTACATATTTTTTATAGATATTAATAAATAAAATCAAATGGAAAAATAGCATTCTGTAATTTTGACAATAGGAGTCTTATTATCGTTATTGTATGAATTTATCATGTATTTGATAGGTTTAGTTCAAAATTTGATGTTAATGAAGGTACTGTTAATATTAAATTAACAATATAAACAATGTCAGGGATTTTGATTTCCTTGATTTTGGTTGTTATTTAACATCTATATACAAGAAGAAAGATTCCTTCGCAGCCTTAATAAGAAATAATTAAAGAACAAATAAAAGATATAGATTCGCCCATGCGGCCAAGAAAGGAAGCTGCTTTAATGGACGAACAACTTACATTAAGCAAGGAAGATTCTTGTGCTGACATGGGCGAATCATTGAAATTAAGGACTACTCAAAGTTAAAAAGATTTTGATGAAATTTCTATAACATCTAGTTTAAGGAAGAGATCAAATTCCATAGCAAGTGAAGGTTTATAAAGAAAGGTCTCTTTTGATGAAAGTTAGAATAAAGTCCATACTTATAAGAAAAATAATAAGTTGGAGATTAGAAATTTTGAATCTAGTTTTTAGGCCATGAAATAAGAGAAAAAGAAAAAAAATGAATTAGTGAAATAGAAGAGAAAAGAAGAAAATTTTAAGAAATTGAATATTAATGATATCAACAAGAAAGGAAGAAAAAGAAAATCTTCTTTAGATGAGAATTTATCCCAATCCTCATATTGATCTATCATTAAATTATAATAATTAATATTTCTAGAATTATATAAATTTTTGTTACTCAATATTTACTTGAAACATTTTAAATTAACTGCATAATGTAAATAATATTAAAATAAAATAATGTCAAACACTCTCTTTCAAAGAAATGGCAATAACAATATATTTTAAACTAGTCAACAAAATTCTAATACCTGGACTATTCCTTAGTATTATATATGTTCATTTTAAGACCACAAAAAAAACGAGATGTTCAAGGATCATATCGAGCCAAGTTTGAACAAATTAAAATTTAAGTTGTAGATGATAAAAACGTATTATCTACTTCAATTATATTCTAACCTTAATATGATAAAATGGTATTTTTACTTTATAAAATTAGACAATGATAATGATTAGATTGGAGGATTATTATTTGATTAGAGCATAATAAATTGATGATTTTCATATATCAACTATTCAAAATGCAATTCAATGCAAAAGGTTTAATCCTACTTTGATTTCAAAAGTAGCTGGACAACGTAAATATATTTATTTTAAATATAGCTATCAATATACCATTGTTTCCTATTTAAAAAGGAACTAATTCTATATGGGAATCTAATAACTAAACATAATAATAACAAAATATATTTAACACAAATGTTTCCTCTTCTCTTAATGATAATCGACAATAAAATAATTTTTTCAGTTCAATGAACAATTAAAATAATTAGTAGTAATAATAATAATAAAAATAATAATTTGGAAATATATTTAATGCCCCTCCAATAAATAATAATACCAATACAAATAACACAGTTAATATATTTTCAAATCCTAGATAAGATTAATAATAATAAAATATTTTTAATTCAAATGTTTATAATAATAATAAACCTTAATCTGAATTTAATAATTATTAGACAAAAGATACAAATCTCCCTTGGACTTAATAATAATAATAATCTGGAAATATATTTTAATAAAATAAACCTTAATTGTAAATTTAAATTCCTAATTAACTCTAAACTAATAATAATGATACTAATTAGTTCAATAATTTCAATAATCAAAATAATAATAATAATTAATCTATTAATTCAATATTCTCATAACCATAATAATAATTCATGAATAATAATATTTAATAACCATTTTCATAATAATAATAATAAAATTCATAATAATAATTAATGTTTTAACAATAATAATTTTAATAATAATAATAATAATAATAAATTTATCCATTATAAATACCTTCATAACCATTTTAGCCATTTTAAAATATTAATACCATAAATATGTTATCAAATGATTTATAAATGATTTAATATCAAAATTAAATGAATCCTATTTAATTTATTAAACAATCAGTAGATATGATTAATAATTTCACAACTACTTTAAATAATTCTATTTAAGAAATGGAAAAATTATATAAATTAGAAGAAGAAAAATATTTAGAATAAGAATACTTAATTAATTAATTAGAATAAAAAAAAAGAATTGAAAGATAAAAAAAATAATAAGAAATCAATTTATTACCAAAAAAGAAAAATGATTCTCATAATCTCTTTAGAATGATGCCTTCTTCTAGTAATTTAAATTTAGCAAATAGTTAAAAAAGTTCAAGAATTAGCATACAATAATAATAATCATAAATCAATTGTGGATTTACAACTAGTAGAATTTCATAAAAGTCCAACAAAACTAAAAGAGAATATATAATTGAAATCTATTTTGAAGAAAGTGAAAATTTTATAACATTTAATGAAGAATTTAATGATATTAAATCAAAAATAGATTTTAAAGAACAAATTCTTTAAAAAATAGATTAAATGCATGTCTTTAAAAGTGATAAACATGCTTATTTTGAAAAAAGTGAATTTATAATAGATGAAAATAATAATTAAGATAATCATCAAACTCTATCTTTTAGAATCTTATAAACTTATAGACCTATTTTAACTAAAAAAGGATATTATACTTTACCAGATATAAATTAATTAACAATTAATTAATTAAAAAATGTAGAAGATTTTACAATTTTTAATGAATTTGGTTCATTAAGATGGGATTCTCCAACAAATTTATTATATCTTAATTTAGATAGAATTGTAGATATACAAGATTCAAAGGTAGAAGTTTATGATTTAGATTAAATTCATGAATATCTTAAACCAAAAATTAATAAAAAACTTAATAAATCATGTTTGATTACATTAAAGGTGCCAATTACAATAAATAAAGATAATTATGAAAGTGAACTCAAATTTTTATAATAAAAATGTAAAGAGTAGAATATTGAATTAATAGAAATTGATCAAAATAAATAATAATTTATTGTTAGAGTTGATCATTTTTCTATTTATACATTTGTACATGATGAAAATGATGAATAATAATAATAATCAGAAAATTCTAAATAATAATAATCATAATAAGAATGTAATAATAAAAAGGAAAATAGTTTAGAATAAGAATTTTATGAAAAGTAACAAACATTTTTTCAATAAGTTTATGATCTTTAAAATTTGAGTAAATAATCTACAAATTAAAAAATATTAAAAATTAATCAAACAAAAAGATAAAATATTTAATTTGTTTAAGATTTTTAGATTTGTGTTAGTAATAAAGAAATGAATGAAATTGACTATCAAATATGTTAATATTTTATGTAAGAATATGAAATTTAAAAAGAAATACCAATTGAAAATTAATTTTGCATCAAATTATTATAATGTTTATTCAGTATCAGAAACAATAACTAATCTTAATTGGTTCCATATGAAAAAAGACTATTAGGATAGAGATTATAGTATTTTAATATATTATTTGGAAATTCACTAATTTAATTATAGGATTATATTGATTTAATAGAAATATATCCTGATTAATATGAATTTTCAGATTTAAATCATATTTAGAGACCTAATTAATTTTAATAAGGATTGAGTTTAATTTTATTTTTTGAATCAATTTTAGAATCCAGGATA